GTGGACAACAAAAATTTCTAAAAAAAAAAAGATAAGTTTTGATAAACCATTTTCAAACAAAAAAATACTTTTCTACGGAACAAAATTGATAACTCTTCTTCGCATGTTTAAAAATTTGTGTGTATGTCAAAAACATAAAACATATTTTAAAGTTGGTTGTCCACCTGACGAATACCTGTTTAGGCTGAGAAATAGCACTCTAAGTGAGGTTCAAGACACACTTCTAGACGAGTGGCAGGTTCTATACATTCGGGTGACCGAGTAGCCTTCGAGGACCCTCGAGAATAAACATAGCTGAGCCTAGTCTCATACGAGTGCTTGCGGTCCCCCTCATCCGAATCTTCTTTTTGTTTTATCGAAGCTTTGGGACAGGGCACTCGTGTTACTTTTTCTTTCCTTCGAGATTTCCGTAGGAGTTTTGAGGTTTTTCTTTTACTTGAGTCTTTTTCATTGATTTTTCTCGAGTTTTCCGTTTTTCCTCGGATTTCTTGGATGACGTTTTCCTCCGGACTTTGTTTTTTTCCTGAGATTTTCCTTTTTGCATAGGATGTTTAGAGGACTACCACCATAGGGCCGTTTGATTTAACACTATAATTGAACACCCTAAAAAACTTAAACTAGTCATGTCGGGAAGCTTGGAGCTAACGCAGTGGGCAGCATGGTCATCTTCAACAGCAGAACATGTCTTCCCCAACAAAACTATTCCTTTTCCTAGAAATTAAATAACAGTCCATAGGATTTCGAGGTTGTTTGCCTAGTGCAACATAAATCCTCCACCTTTTCTTTAGGCATTCGCATAGCTCTGTCGTACGATTTAAGCCCTAAACTTGTTCTAGGTTTTGAGGTCGTCGTCAGATACGATGTAAACTCTCATATCTTCCAGGCAACTTGTGTGACCGTGTCACGCGAATATAAGCCTTAACTAAATAAAATTGGCAGGATGAAACACTTTAATAATTTCTTCTTAAAGTTGAAGCCAAACCATAGGATAGACTGGGAACCTACTGAGGTTCGCCTCAGGATCTGTGGCTTCCCCTAGTTTCTCTTCATTTGGATTCCTTAACAATGTTCCAGATTTGAG